AATGCCTTGCAATGGGCTCAGAAAAATAAACTTGTTTTCCCTTTATATGAATGTTTTTCTGACCCCATTGGCAGATATATTTTTTTCTTGTTTTAAGCAGAAACTCACTTCATTTTGATCAGTTTCTCCAGAAAATAAGACTTAATATATTAAGTCATTATGCTTCTCAAGTAAATGTATCTTGATTTAAGAATGTGTAGATATTTGTACTGGAAAACAAGACAAAAATATCATTTTTTTTGCATTTTTCAAGTGATTTAAGTTTAAATAAATTATTATTTAAGCAAGAGTCCCACATCCGACTCTAGATACATCCGAGACCTTTTGAATTTTACAGAGGAGAGTGGATGTGGTTTATACGCTTTGATAGGGTCAGAATGCAGTTAAACGTGGTAAATGTGCCGTGTGTGTGTGTGTGTGTGTGCGTGCGTGCATGTGTGCGTGTGTGTGTGTGTGCATGTTTATGTGGTTTATGAGGACACAAATTTGTATAATAACATGGGTATGACATAGGTATTACAACGAGAAGGTGATTTATGAGGACATTTTCAGTGTCCCCGTAATTCAAAAGGCTTATAAATAATTCAGAATGAGGTTTTTGAAAATCTAAAAATGCAGAAAGTTTCCTGTGAGGGGTAGGTTTAGGGGTAGGGTTGGTGTAGGGCAACAGAGAATACGGTCTGTACAGTATAAAAACCATTACGCCTATGGAGAGTCCCCATAAATCATAAAACAAACCTGTGTGTGTGTGTGGACTACAGGGTATTTTCCATACAGTAGCTTCAGAGGAAAGCTCCAGTGTTTAATGACATCTTTAGCTCTTTTGTAGTGCACATGCATCTGTGCTGTATGGATGTGGAAGAGGCGGTTGGAAAAATCAAACGCTCACACACACACACACACACTGAGAGGCCTGCAAGTCCATAATGGCATCAAAGGGCAATGTAAAAAGACTGGTTAAAAAGGATATAATTACTTTCAAATGATGTGCCAGTTACAATTGAATACATGTGTCTGCAGAGACCAGCAGATTTTAGGGGATTTATCAGGTGAATTTATATATTTATATACTCATATAGTAAAAACTTCACAAATGAGATCTCATTAATATCTCAATTGTTTCTTCTAGACAACCGTGAGAGTCCTTCTCATATTTTTCTCTTGGGAGTTTCGGTAGTGATCTTAATAGTGTCTGTATATATATATATATATATATATATATATATATAAATCTTCCCACATAGTGACGTAGATATGTGGGGGCGTGTTAGAATGAGCGGTTCTAGGTAGGCGTGGCTGACTCTTAACTTTTATAAAGAATACCTCTTTGGATTTGAGACTTTAGTCAGTGTATATTTTGGCACCTGTATTGAATTCCACATGATGTCTTCATGTTTCTAAAGCACCTATAGTGTGTGTATATATATATATATATATATATATATATATATATATATATATATATATATATATATATATATAAATCTTCCCACATAGTGACGTAGATATGTGGGGGCGTGTTAGAATGAGCGGTTCTAGGTAGGCGTGGCTGACTCTTAACTTTTATAAAGAATACCTCTTTGGATTTGAGACTTTAGTCAGTGTATATTTTGGCACCTGTATTGAATTCCACATGATGTCTTCATGTTTCTAAAGCACCTAAAGCTGGTCTGAGAGCTGTTGTGGTGAGTAATCTCTGTGTCTCAGTCGGCTGGTGTTTGCTGTTTGGAGATGTTTGCTGGTTCTCCATAAGCCCATTCAGACCCGGCTGCGCTCCACAACTTTGGTGGCGGCAAACGAGGGATAAATGATTGTTTGTGTTTGTTACATTTCTGATCTATAGCAAACAAATACACAGAAAGGATAAATACCCC